GCACAAATCCATCTTCACATTCACGTCACTTCTGGCTGGGGCATACACACACACAACACGCACTCTCACTCCCATCCAGCCATCCTTCCACACGTAGTACTCCCTTCTCCCCCCCCCTTCCCCTCCCCCTCTTTACCAATGCAATACAACGGGCCCGCCTCTCCTGACGCAACTACACCCACTCCCCCTTTTAAAACGCTCAGGACGGCAACACATAAGCCGATAACCCAGGGACCTCTAATTCACGACCAAGCTCTACTTGTGCTCCTGCACAAAGCTACGTCAACCTTATCCTATTCAAAAAACAATCCCTGAAGCACTCCCGTTTAACACCATCACACAGACCATTATATTTATTGTTACACTCCTGAGCCAGCTTAAGGATTTCCTTCCCTCCCCGGCCTCATGTCAAGATTCTTTCCGCTTTCAGACTGTTTCGCCCTGGACTTGTGCCTTTGCCCTCAGTTTTTCCCCCTCCTTCCCACCGACTCCCCCCCCCCTTCGTTGTGGCCGCTCTCGCAGAGTCACTCTGAGTTACCAGAACCCCATGTCTATTTCTTCCCCCGGCCTTTGCGCCGGTGTCAGAACATCGTCGTCCGATCTGACGCTGCTGCCCTTTCTCCTTGTAGCTCCCTCAGTTCCAATCCGCGATCCTGGGACGCCCAGCACAATGGAACTTCCACCTCTAACCCCCATCCCTTAATCCGCCTCCATGCCGCCTCCATGGCAAAACTCGCACTGTCCACCACATAGTGCCACCTGATCCTCCCCTTCCCCACCGACAACCACCTTCTACCCTGATCCCAGGGTCCTCTTGTTCGCTGTAACTCTTCCCACCTCCGTAGACATAGACATAGCAGTATCACATCACCGTCGTCCACTCCCTCCTCAAAAGCCGTTCACTGCTGCGCCCTCCTGTACCTCCTCACTTGACAACATGTACTGTTGATGGCCATGGTGATTCATGTCTCAACACTTCTTCGATTCCCGCAGGAGGACCACCACCACATCACTCCACATGCCGAGCACCACGCCCTCCTCCTCCTTGCACCCGTTCTTCTTTAGGCAATGGGTGCTCATAGCGCCAGGTGCCTCCCCCGCCTCCTTGCCGCCCACGGAGCCAACTGTGATGGCCAGGTTGATTCATGGATCACCACATCCTCCGTTTTCCACTGGAGAGCCACCACCTCTTCACTCCACATGCGACCACGTCCCTCCTCCTATGCCCCCGTTCTTCTTAGCATTCGGGTAGCTCATAGCGCAGGGCTACCGCCCCTTGCCCGGCCTCAGGAGCCATACTCCGCTTGCCACAGTCCTGCCGCCATTATGGTCCAAATTCGCCACACATTCGGCACGTACGCCTCTGCCCCGCATACGCTACACATTACGACATGGGTTCTAAAACTCTTCGAGATATACATACGAGTGTAAGGATGCCTAGCGTCATCTTGAGAGATTAAAAGAACCCTCAGGGTATCCTGTGTACGCACCTTTTACCCATTTGCCAGGTTGGGCCAGATTACAGTTCATAACGTTCGAAACATTTTCGAATATCTACCTCATCCAGCCCTCAAAAGGCCGTTCGGAGCTTGAACCCACGAATAATGAGTCTTGTGATACATCAATCAACTCTGACCCTCTACTGTCCGGTGTACAGTAATCTCTGACATCTCTGGTAACGAATCAACAAAGCCTCGTATACTTGAGCAGTTAGCACTTTCACGAAAATTCTATATACACCGTTCAGTTCCACTCCCATATCTAAATCCTCCGCTCTGATGCCATATGATCTCTCGTATAATTTGGGCAAATAACACATCGAACTGACGTAGGTGTTAAAGCCCCAACAATAAGTTTCAATGCCCACAGTATTCACTCTCCTGCGACACACACTGGCGCCATGTCGTTCGACCTGCTTAGCTCGTCCTGGGAAACAGTAGAGGGTGCAAAGCACGTCCGCGACCTCATATCCTCATCCAGGCAGCGAATCACAACAACCTCCTCAAACCAGCTGCTGTCCAGGTTAACTGATGAGGAGCGTCAGCAAGGGGGTCTGCACGGCCCATAGCGATGCAGACCATTCTCAGGAAAATATTAGCGAAATCCAATAAATAATAAATTATATAGAACAGGATAATCAATAAACTATGCACTATTAGGGTAAACTAAGTTGAACATGGTCCTAATAAACAGAGAAATTAACACCTAGACTAAATCCCAGCCCTAATGAACTATTCTGCGAGTGTTTAAGTCTTGAAACTTAGCATACCTTTGCTAATCTTTCCAATATATCACTACGAAACTAGGCATAGATGCCAGACAACTGGAAAATAGCGCAAATATAATACACTATACACAAGTGAGCATATACACACACACACATACATCAGGACTGTGTAAGTCCTTAGCTTCGAACTATAGACCAATAAGCCTTACCTCCATAGCTGGTAAAATTTAAGAGAATCATAATTCTGCCAAAGCACACTCGTAGGGCCATCTGAAAGGGTCATAAATTATAATGAATCTCAGCATGGTTTTGCAAAGGGGGCGATCCTGTCTCTTAGAATTACTAATTTCTTCACTAAGGTATTTTGAGGAGAGGTAACAATCAAAGTATTGAATATGTCTTTATTTGTGTAATGGACTTCAGAAGGCTTTCGATAGAGTGTCCACATCAGAGGCTATGAGAAAACTTAAGGCAGCATACGCGAATGGAGAAGAAATTTTTTCCTGTAGAGGCATGGTTGACAAATAGGCAAGCAGAGAGTTTGCGTAAATAGGGAGAAATCAGAATGAGAGGCCACGTCACGATGTATTTTTCCACAGGGGTAAGTCTTGGCGCCCCTTTATTGTTGACAACTTACATTAAATGACATAGAAGACGGGAGAATAAACAGCAACATAAGCAAATATGCTGATAACAACCAAAATAAGGCCGTCCAATTTCATTGCTAATGAGCACGTTTCCGACCAGGACGATCTAGAATAAACTGATGCAATGGTCGGAGAAGTTTGCACATGCAGTATTAATATAGCGATATGCAAGCTTTCATGTTGGACAGGAAATAATAGACCACCATATAAAACTAAATCATGTAGATATTAAAATTAACGAATTGTGAAAAGGATTTAGAGCTCTAGTTAGTCAGCAATCTGTAAACCAAGACAACAGTGTAAAAAAAAAAAAACAACCAAAGTGTCGGGGATAGAACCCGTCGATCAGAGGGTCTCGAAACTCCAGACCGTCGAGCGTTAACCAAAGGCAACCAGCCAGCCACAATACGATCGTCCAACTAGGTATATTTCATACAACCATAGAAGGTTAGAATATGCACCTACTGGAGACCAAAAATGCAAGTTTTACAGACGAATCTCCCAGCGACGTAGGTCCGTGACGAACACTAGCTCATGATCCCCTCAACACCGAAACTATTCCTCACGAAATCGTAATACACGATTGCAAACAAGCCATACCACTGGTGGGATAGAACCCCCCGCGATCAGACAGTCTCAAAACTCAGACCGTCGTCGTTAGCCACAAGGGACCCCCACCCTTAAGCAGCCACAATAAGAAACTTCAACGAGGTAGATTCTACACCATATCGTGAGTCATGAAACGCTTTGAGGGGACTTGAGCTATAGTTCTCATGGCCACCTAGCTGTAGATTCGACTGTAAACACTTGCATTTGAAGGACACAGTGTGCCCTATGCAACCTTCCTATAGCAGTAGAAATATACCTAGTTGGACGAATCTATCGTGCTAGCAGTGTCCAGTGGCTAACGTGACGGTCTGGAAGTTTTGAGACTCTCTGATCGCGGTTCCATCCCGCCCCGTGTATGCGTTTGTTTGCAAATCGTTTCATTACGATTTCGTGAGTCATGTAAAGACAACATGCTTTAATCAAGTGTTTCGAATTAAAGCTAACAGAATCCTTGGCCTTCATACAATAAGCAAAAATATAGACACCTCAGGTTGTTCTTCAACTCCTACTATCTTTGGTATGGCCCTCGTCTATGATTATCCTCAAGCATTTTTGGTCACCGATATTACAGAATGAAAATAAATGCAGCATGAAAACGTAGAAAAGGGGAATAACAAAGTTGATCCCTTGTTATCAGAAATCCTCCCTATGGAAACAACTGGGGACCCTGAATCTGCACTCTCTAAGAAAGGCGTAAAATTAGGTGAATATGACTGAGGTGTATAAAAATGGGAAACAGAATAATAAAGGTGATGTACTAGCATGATGAAAATATCTAGCATAAACAGGACTCTAGCAATGGTTTTAAGCTGGAAAAATTCAGATTCAGGCTAAGGATTATTGGGAAGCACTTGCTTATATAATAGAGTTGTGGATGAACGGAACAAACTCCCTGAGTAACATCATAGAAGCTAGACATTGTGCAGTTTTAAAAAATAGGTTGGATAAATACCATGAGTGGGTGTGGAGTGGGTGTGAAGTTGACCTGACTAGCTTGTGCTACTCAAGGCAGATATCTTAAGTGAATGTGACAGACCTGACCAAGGGTCAAGGCATTGGCTTAAGGCCGGTGTGAGATAATTGGACTTGGCCTTGCATGGGCCAGTAGCTTGCAGCAGTGTCCTTTCTTTCTTATGTCTTACATAGTCAGTTCTCCTGATAAAGTCAGAGTGAATCATTTTGTTTTTATGTAAGTAAATCAGAAAAATTAATCGAATAAAACGAAAATATTTATATCATGGATTTCAGAAATTAGACTGATGTAATGATATATTAGTAAGAATCTAGGTCTAAAAATAAAAATACTAATTAGTTTGTTCTCTCTGACTGTTAGCCAAATTAGCTTTAGTTAACTTTTCCAGATGTTTGTTAATTATTGCACACCAGCATCTGTTTCTCATGATTTCCGTATATTTTTCTTTTCTTGCAGATTTCAAATAATTTTATTTTTCTTTACTTTATTTTATATATTCAGAGTTGATGGTTTTTGGGAGCGAGACTAGTGTATACCTTCATGTGCTGAGAGAGCACGCTGGGGCCTACCTGTGTATAGCCAGTAATGGCGTCCTTCCATCAGTCAGCAAGCGCATTCTCCTCAACGTGCGATGTAAGTCATTCTTCCTTTCAAATTTTCTGGGTTTTTTTTTCTAGGTTAACCATGTTAAACTTTCATTTATTGTTAATATATTAATATGTAATTATAAATCTACTTCTCCTGAAGAAGGACTCATAATGAGCTTTAAATAAAGTGGCTAATATCCCTAAGAAAACTTTTATTCTGGTTCTCTTCCATACAGGAGGAACGATTATCATCCCCGCTTTGTTATTGTTGTTATTACAGTAAACTCGGATATAGGGTCACTGGTAGTCAATGAATATTAATTTGAAGGACAAGTTATAATCAGTCATTCAAATTAGTTCATAATAATAACATTGAGATTGAAGATAATTTATAATTAAAAAAAATAGATGTCTTTCGGTCGCTGGGTGATCCGATAAAAGGATCTCTTTATTCAATTACCCCAGTTCTCCGTGCTTCACTGCACACGACTGGAATAGCCCATTGGAAAACTTGGTTTATATCATTTTGGACATTTACCGTGACCTCAGTGGATGACAGTCTCATGCAGATCCTAATATCGTCTACAAAGGATGCTATAGAGTATAGACAGAGATGTCTATGTCTGCCTAAGAGGGATAAGCGAACAGGAGAGGGCGAGTACAGTGACGTGTGGAACAGAGCTCTTCACTAATTGCCGCTTCCGAATTTAACTCTCCGTGTTCCGATTGGTTTAAAAGTTTGAAGAACCATCGCCCACTTTGCCAGTTAATCCCTTAAGCGCGCTTTGGTTTTGCGCAATTACAACCATACTACACATGAAATTATTTGAGTTATTATTATAAAAAAGAAGCGTTAAACACAAGGGCTATGCAGCGCACATGTAATACTTTTGGCAAAATCTGTGTATACTATAGTCTGACATTCCTGTTTAGTGTTCCAGTGCATCCGAGGCCATATCATAGTCCAGTAGTTGCCAGTAGGCAACGAGCGTACCTGCCTCTGAACTCATGTTTGGCCTGGCCCTGGATGGTGCAAACTTTTGGGAATCCAATCGAATTGCAATCATGCTTTTTTTTTAGTACTCTGTCTTTCAAAGATTTTTTATGAAGTGGGACGTTAATATGACTGGTCTATTAGTTCTTAGTAAGGCTCTTGCTTCTTGGCTGCCACCTTTATGGAGTGGGGCTGCACTCCGTTGTTCTTATAATAACGTGAGGAATTTCACCCCCGTTGTCTATGCTCCTTCTCCATAGCATAATTAGGGGCAGAAGGTGTTTTTTGTAGTTCTTAATGAACACAGAGTTCAACGAGTCAGGGCCTGGAGCTGGGTGCATGGGCATGTTGTCAATAGGTCTCTCAAAGTCTGGTGGAGTTAGGGTTATATCAGAAATTTGGCATACATTTACAGGGTTTCGAGGCTCATTCATGAGAAATCATCTGGATTGACCGATCTTACAGGATAACAATTTAGACACAGGTCGTAATGGATTTCAGTACCTCTCATTTCTTTATTGTCAAACTGTGTAAGTTCCATCTTGTGCTGAGACAGGGGGCACTCAAACTAGATATGATTTGACATTGTTTTCGGTATATGAAAAAGAAATATTTCGAATTCTTCAATTTCACCATCTCTTTAGTTCGCTCATGTCTTTTCCTGTGATCCTGAATCAATCATTTAACTTAAGCTCAATGATTTCCACTTCCTTGGTTATCGCTTCTTTCCGTGTTTCAGATAGTCTAGTATTCTTGAGGAGCTCAGTGATTCTTCGCCTTCTCCTGTACAGGGAGCGTCTCTCTCCAGTTTACTTTTTCTCTTCTTTTTTCTTAGGGAAATATGCCTTGAACATACTTCAGCTGCCAAAAAGTTGATCTTTTCAAGGTACTGGTTAGGATCCATGTTATTTAAGATATCTTCCCAGAATGTTTCATTTAGAACATGATTTACCGGGCCCAAGTTGATGTTCTTGTTGTTGAAGTTGAATTTGTTGAAGGCACCTTCGTAGCCGTGTGCATTTTGCTGGTCAGGATCAAGGACCCTTGTCTGGACTTCGATTAGATTGTGATCTGAATTAGTTGTTTTTTTATATTATGTTTCTTACCAGGGCCTCATTATTTGTGAAAATAAGGTCAAGTGTCTTGTCCAGTCTTGTTGGTCCATTATCTGCTGTCTTACGGTGCGTTTATTGCAGAGATTCAGCAGCTCATGTGTGTGTGTGTGACTTTTCATCTGAGCTGCCTCCAGGGAATGTTTTTGTTATAACATTATTTGCTATATTCTTCCATTTTGTATGTCTTAAATTGAAATCATTAAGTAACAAGATGTTTGGGGATGGGGATGGAAGGTTTTCCAGACAGTAGTAAATTTTTAATAGCTGTTCCTTGAACTGTTAGGAGGTTGCATCTGGTGGCTTATATATAACGACAATGACTAAGTTTTGATTCTCGATCTTTATTGTTAGAACTTTAACTACATCATTTATGGTGTTCAGTGTCTGTGGAAATGAGCGACTCTTTTACATTCAGGCCAACCCCTTCCCCTTGTTGCCTGTTCTTTCTGTCGCATCTAAAAAGGCTGTACCCAGTTATCCATATTTCGTTGTCAAAGTGATCTTTTGTGTGGGTTTCTGTGAAGACTGCAAACATCGCATTTGACTTTACAAGTCCACTGATGAAAGGTATTTTGTTGGTTGTGGATGGCTTAAGGAACTGAATATTAGCATATATAAATGAGGTTGTATTGCGTGTTTGCTGAGGATATTTTGTTGTTGGCGTCAGTACTTGTGGTTCTGGAGGGACATGGGGGCGCCACTGGCTGTCCCTCCAGTCCAACAAAGCTGCAAGGTGATGGCTTTTTTTTTGGTTATTTCTTTCCGCCTTATTTTTTCGTTTCCTGTCACTAAAAAAACACTTGAAGTAGGGTTTGTTTTACGTGATCTGTACTTCCCGGTCCCTTTTAATTGTAATGCGGGGTAGTTGTTGTAACATTGTTTTTTGAGGACTGAACAGTGGTACATTTCAGGATGGAATAATTTGCAGGAGGTAGAATGACACCCTTTTAGACAGGAGGTCGCGGCATTTTTTGGGATGCTCAAAGCTGCATACCCCATTTGTTTTTCCCTATATTCCATGCAACAGATGCCCCAAGCATAGAATTTGCACCATTTTGCTTTCGGTTGGATAAAATTCGTGGTGGTTACTTTCCCAATTTGTGCAGATCCTAGAAGTGCCCTACAATCTTCAGTAGTCAAGCCATTGACACCAACATCTGTTTCCAAGAGACCAACATTTTATCCGGAGGAAGACTCCTCCTCAACTACATCTGATTCAGAACAAATCCCGGAAACTGACATTATATATGGAGCGTTTATGTTTTATACAATAATGACCAATACACTGCGTAATAACCCCTCCAGTATCCCACCGGTCTCGCTCAGCTAACTGGATCCACTCAGTTTCAGCTAGTCAACGGGCAAAAATGGGAAATTAATCTTAGGTCTGGGGAAACACAAAATTCTCCAAAAATAAGAAAACCGCATCAAGCACTGTCTTGGTGCAATTTACTTTTGCATAGAAAAAAAAATAAGCATTTATCACCTTAAAGCTTATCTCTACAATGAGTATTGTTAATCTGCAGACGTGTGAAACTCGTTTGACATAAAAGTGATCAGGTTTTACGCCAGATGAGTCCACAATCATGCTTTATAACTGTGCTCTTAAACATAAACAGGAAAATGCACCATTACAACTTAGTGTTGGTCAAACACCTATGCCGTTGCATTTTTTGTACATGGCATAAAATTAAAGAGCTGACTGAGTTACCTCTGTATATATTAATTACATAAAAAGTATACACAATAATTATATACAAGTAAACTTATTATAAATTGAGAAAGTGTCTCTTTAAACAACATAAGTGTTCACTATCACACAATTCTGCTTGCAAAAATAAAACAGGCACTTTATATAAACAAAGTATCCACATTAATTACATGATTATTATAAATTGAGAAACTCTGTAAACAGCATTAGCGTCCATTATCACACATCTCTGCTTTCAAATATGAAATAAACACTTCAAAAAAATATATAAACAAAGTCTCCAGAAATAGTGCAAAAAATTAGTCTCATATTAATACAAATAGAAAATTACATTATCAACCTTGCGTCTCACAGCAATATCCAATTAGCAAAACTTGCTATGCAAAACACACCACTGGGAGGAATTGGAGAGTACGGCAAGGAAAATTACCAGACCTCAAAACTGTGTAGTTAGTCATCTATAAATTTTGTCGCTGGGACTGTGATCTGAAAAAACACACTGGAGTTTCAAATATATATTTAAAAATATTTATTATAAAAAAATTATATATAATATATAAAAATTATATATATATATATATTATATATATATATATAAAATTAAATATAATATATATATTAATATATATAAAAATATATATATAATATATATATATGGGCAAAAAAACACTTGAAAGAATAGAAAAATTTAAAACGTTTCGTGCACCACATTATCAAGGAACATAAAAGTAAAGCATCCAAGGAAGCTATATAAGGAGGCCTTCACGCCCGGGCCCGCGGGGGGTTGCCCCCCGGAACTCTCTCCAGGTAAACCCCAGGTAAAAACCTCACTACAGCCCCCAAAACGGTTAAAAACCCGAGGTGCGCCGACCCAACGGGAAAGGTCCTTTTCAAAATCACCCCAAACTATTCTCCCTGAAAATGTAAAAATTATTATTTGTCCAGTGTTTTAAAAAATTTTTCCCCCAAATTCTTTTAATTATAAAGGATCTAATTTATAAAAACCAAAAGGAAATATTCATATTATTGTCAAAACGCTTTTTATGAACAAATTCATTTTATTTTGTCGACCATGGACTTGCTTTTATACTACTTTCTCAACTTTTTTTTAAAATCAATTGGAGGTTTTAAAACTCTTACATGAATAAAAAGAGCTTGGAATCTTTTTCCAGTTCTAATGCATATTTTGTTGTTTTTTTCTTAGTTCGAGATTTTTACCGTTTGAC